CTTGACAAGATTCTGAGACAAACAATAATTTTAGATACCTTAACCTGTGAGCCACTACTTTTCTAGATCGAGAGATTCCAGCTGCAATGCCTTGAAGCTGCGATCAGCATTGCAAAGGAAAGACATGAAAGGCAGAGACTCCGCTGGTAAAGCTATATCGAACACCATGGTTTAGAAGGCTGTATGATACAAAAGGCTTAGCACTCCAGCGAAATGCTATCCAATCTATATGGCTTACGCAATTAGCAGATGAAACTGCACAAAAACATCTGAAAAGCCTCATGGCGACGCTGCTACGTCATCTAAAGCGTTGGAAACAGGTGAATGAATAAGAGTCCTAATGGACGGATGAATGTTTCAGATGAATTCGAACGATCCTAATCGCAAAACTGATACACTAGAGCACTGGAACAGCTATGCTGCAATGCTTATAGACAAAATTTTAATAAGAATTCTAATACGCTACGAAAAATACAAGAGTGTCATCAGCATAGGAGATGTCAGACGAGACGGATGCTGCTTGCAGACACCTTGTTCTTTTGACACTTGAAACTTATCTACAGCGCTCTCTGGAAAGGTTCGCAGCCGAGTGCATGCCTGTAAAAGTGCAAAGGCGTAGAGCTTTCTTCACATTAATGGAGAAGCAGTGGAGCAGGTGGAGAAGTTCAAGTACCTCAGAATCACATTTACTAATGATGGAAAGTTGGAGGAAGAGATCGACCGGCGAATTGGAGTAGTCAGTGGTGTTCTGCGTGAACTCGCCCTACCCGTTATGACTAAAGCAGAGCTAAGTCTGAAAACTAATCTCTCGGTGTTCAAGCTGATCTTTATCCCCATACCTACCTACGGTCATGAGTCGTGGACCATCACTGAAAAGCTTCGAACCCGGGTACAAGCTGCTGAAATGGGCTTTCTTAGACGACTCGCTGGTCTTACGCGTCTGGACATGGTCCGGAACTCTGACACCCGGAAGACCCTTCCTTGGTGTAGCAGCCTTTGCTTCTCCGGATTGAAAAGTTACAGCTGCGATGGTTCGGCAAGGTGTTGCGAATGATTTCAGAAAAGAAGGCTAAACAGATCCTACTCTCTCAACCGATCGGCCGAAGATGCTGGATACGGCCAAGATTAACCTGGGCAAAGGGAAGGAGTCTACTCTCCACTCCGGTTGAATTCTGTCGAAGTTCAGACGCTGGCATAGGTCAGGAACGCTGGAAGCACCGTGAAAAATCTGACTGCACGACGCAAAAGGAAAAACGGTCGTACAAAGTGAAGTGAACAGGGAATACAGTTATACGCAGGAACGCGTTTCGATTGACTTCATACTCCTAGCCGGCAGATGCAC